CATCCTCACAATCATTGTTATGCTTGAGCCCATTGTTGCAGCCACTGTGTCAATCCATCTCTTCCAGGGTCTTCCTCTTTTTCTCTGGCCCTCTACTTTACCAAGCATGATGTCCTTCTCCAGGGACTGATCCCTCCTGATAACATGTCCAAAGTATGTGAGACGTAGTCTCGCTGTCTTTGCTTCTAAGGGCGTACAATAGATGCTCAATAAATTTTAACTGCTGTTATGATTATTATTTGCTATAGACTCTGAAAGCAGTTCCAAAGATGTTTTGATTAATACTTTGAAGGACGTACATTCTAATAAACTCATTTGGAGTTTTGGTCTCAGGGTTCTTAGAATCTCTCAAATTTAACAGAATTTTTCAGGGGGGAAAAATAAATCTTAGGTAGAGGAAAAGTATGACTAGAAAGGATGGCCTATATGGAGAAGAACGGGGCACGAGGATTGGAGGAAGACTCATTAACAACCTACGTTATGCAGATAACACAACCCTGTTCGCTGACAGAGAAGAGGACTTGAAACACTTACTGATGAAGATCAAAGACCACAGCCTTCAGTATGGATTACACCTCAACATAAAGAACACAAAAATCCTCACAGTTGGACCAATAAGCAACATCATGATCAATGAAGAAAAGATTGAAGTTGTTAAGAACTTCATTTTACTTGGATCCACAATCAACACCCAAGGAAGCAGCAGTCATGAAATCAAAAGACATACTGCACTGGGCAAATCTGCTGCAAAAGACCTCTTTAAAGCGTTGAAAAGCAAAGATGTCACCTGACCCAAGCCATCGTGTTTTCAATAGTCTCATATGCATGTGAAAGCTGGACAGTGAATAAGGAAGACCGAAGAAGAATTTATGCCTTTGAATCGTGGTGTTGGCGAAGAATATTGAATATATCATGGACTTCCAAAAGAATGAAGAAGTCTGTCTTGGAAGAAGTACAAGCAGAGTGCTCCTTAGAAGCAAGGATGGTAAGACTACATCTCACATGCTTTGGACATGTTATCAGGAGGGATCAGTCCTTAGAGAAGGACATCATGCTTCATAAAGTACAGGGTCAGTGAAAAAGAGATGGATTGACACAGTAGCTGCAACAATAGGCTCAAACATAGCAATGATTGTGAGGATGGCGTAGGACCAGGCAGTGTTTCGTTCTGGTACATAGGGTCACTATGAGTTGGAACTGACTCAATGGCACCTAACAACAATG